TACTCTCTTGAAGACAGAGGAAATCAGCTTCTCTGGGAATACACTTGGCAGCTAGCTGAGAGTCTATTTGGAACACCTGTTGAAAGGATCATGCTACAAAAAGGTGAAGAAGGATGAGAAGGATATTAAGTTGAAGGGGATGTGGTCAGCGTGTTTGGAAACTTGTTTTATCTACAACTTCAATTTGGAGAGCCCATGGGGAAAAACCAGAAATGTGGAGATAATAAAGAACAGTCAAGGTAGTCACAGTGCTGTGGCCTGTGTATCAGTGACTTGGAAGCTCTGATGGCAGACAACCTGGATGCCTCTGACATTCTAGCTGTCAATAGAGGAAAGTGACATCATGGATTTAAAGAATAGAGAAACTGCAGAGATCAGGATTAAGAGTTCACAAAAACAATCTTGGTAGGATCATAGAAGCAAGAGATGCAATGCATATTAAAAAAGAAATACTCTTCCTGTGATCCTTAATTTTCAAGGAGAAATGTCAGCTCTCAAAATTGTAGGGAAAGATGTGATTATTTCCAGCAGTGTCGCAATGATGTTTTTGAGTAACGAACAGAACAAAGATGGCTTGCTCTTGCCTGGGGTGAGGGACTCAGAGCCAGAATGCTGAAGGGTCATCTACTTGCACAATAGAGTAAATAATGGAATTGGAGAGGAGAGGAAAGTGTGCAGTCCTCAAGAAATGGGAATGCTAGAAGATTGTAGGCTGATGACTCCCAATATTTAGGGAATATATGTTATGATAAAACATAAAAAGCAAGACTGTGGGAGGAAAGAAGAGTTGACTATGATGGCTATGAGTAAATAATCTTGGAATCTCTTCCTTACCTAGGTGGAAGAACAACTGGAGTGGCAGTGAAAATTTAACTATTCCCAGTTGTCTATGAGAGAGAGCAGATAATATAAAATAGAGAAGCTCTTTCTTTTTACTTCTATGATTCCTTAAGCCAGAAAAAAACAACTGTTGGTTTAAAAACAACATAATAAGCCTAGTCCTTTCACAAGACTGTCACTATTTTGCCTATTATTATCAAAATACTTTACTTCTGAGGTTAAAACTCATTAGGTCTCAAGGTTCTTATTTCTTTAATACCATGATTTATAATTATTTTAAAAACTATGACCTGTTTTAGTGTCTGTAAAACTTATTAAGGAATTAAAATATTTTTGAAAAAGGACCACAAATGCCTTAGAATGTCATCCACAGTTTATAGAAAATTATCGGTTCATCTAAAACTTAAGACAACAGCTCCTATATCAAAATGTGGGAATAGATTGGAATTGGAGGTGTGTCCAACACTAAACATGTATCTGTCACGTTCAAAGAAAACATATTAATAAGAAAAAGTAAAAACAGAGTGTCAAACATAAAGACAAAATTATCTCAGCAGAAAATAACACAAAATACAAATAATTATGTTCATATGAGAGCAACTGTTAAAATAGAATGCTTAATTTTTGTTCGTTGGTTGCCTTGCTGAGCTGGGTCAGAGGTAAGCCAAAGGGGCTGAAAGGCAGCTTTTCTTAATTATTAAGGATTATTTGTGCTGCTTGTAAACTGTGGCTTTGCTCCTTTGGCTTTGGCGGGAGCTGTAGCACACTAAATGCAGTGTGACAGCCTTTTCTAGGATTATTTCTGGTCAAATTAGACTACTAACAAAAGAAATTACTCCTTAATTTGCATATAATTGACAGTATATCTAGGCATAGAGTTCTTTGGTTTTATCCTGCTTAGGACTCACTCAGTTTTTGAGTCTGTATCTTTAACTTGCTCCAAAGTTGGGAGATTTTCAGTTTTAATCTCTTCAAATATTTTCAGGTCTCCATTCTTTTTCCTCTCATTCTAGGACTTCAGTGACAGAAACATCAGATACACAATTATTGCCCCAGAACTTTCAGGGTCCATTTTTTTCCCCGATTTTCTCTGTGTTGTTCAGATTGTATAATTTTCACTAATCTTCCCTCAATATTTCTGATTCTGGTTTTCTCTTTTTAATAGGTTAAATTTATTAAATGATAAATTAAAAACAAAAAAAATTGATACCTAGAGGTACCAGCTGATTTTTTCATACGTGTATACATTACATAATGCTTAAATCAACTTATAATCTGTCTTCTCAAACATTTATCATTTCTGTATGATGAAAACATTCAAAATACTTCCTTCTAGATTTCTAAAACATACAATAGATTTTTACTGTCTATATGCATCCTGCTTTGTAATATCACTCTAGAACTTATTGCTTATATGTAGTTATAAATTAGTACCTGTTATAATTTGGATATGAGGTATCCTCTAAAACTCCTGTGTTCATGTAGGAATGTTCAGAGGTGAAGATGATTGGATTGTGAGAGCCATAACCTAATCAGTCCATCCTAGTTTGGATGGACAGAATGTAACTATAGGCATGTGGGTTAATGGGGGTATGCTCTGGAAGGGTTCATCTTCTCGGTGACCCCTTTCCCATCCCTCACTCTCCTTCCTCTCCACCAAGAGCTGAGATTTCCTCTGCCACATCCTTGTACCTTGATATTCTGCCTTATCTCAGGCTCAGAGCAACGGAGTTAGCTGTCTGGGTACTGAGAAATCTGGAACAATTTGCCCCCAAATAACTTTTCCTCCTCTAAGTTGTTCTTGTCAGGTATTTTGCTCACAGCAATGCAAAGCTGATGAACACAGTACCTATTGAAAACATCTCCCTGTCAATCCCTTCTACCCTATTATCACAAGCCTCTGGTAGTCACCTTTCTGCTCTATATTCCTATGAGATCAACCTTTCATGTATTTCACAGATGAGTGACATCATGAGACATTTGCCTTCTATGCCTGGCATACTTAACATAATGATCTCTATTTCCATCAATGTTGTCACAAATGACAGGGTTTTATTTTTTTCCTACCTGAGTAATATCCCATTCTGTCTATGTACCACATTTTCTCTAAACATTCATTAGCTGATGGACACTCAGGTTATTTTAATTTCTTGTTTATTTTGAATAGTGCTTCAGTAAACATGGGAGTACAGATGGATTTTCACATGCAAAGAAATGATACTAAAACCTTATCATTTACTATTACAAATATCAAATCAAAATGGGCTAAGGACTTAAATGTAAGAGCTGAAACTATAAAACTACTGGAAGAAAACAAGGAAAGTACTTCAGGATCCTGGAATTGGCAAAGATTTTGGAGGTGACTCCAAAAGTACAGGAAACAAAAGCAGAACTGCAAAAATAGGATTGCATCAAATGTGTTAGCTATTTTTGCTGCTGTGATAAAAAGACCTGACAAAAATAATTTTAAGGAGGATAAGTTTATTTGGGGGCTCACAGTTTTAGAAGTCTCAGTGCATACATAGACAGCTAGCTCCCTTCCTTGGGACTAGAGGTGAGGCAGAACATCATGGTGGAGGGAAGTGGCTCTCATGATGATAAGAAAACAGAGAGATCAAGCTCAGCTGACCAGATATTGACCCCAAAGGCACGCCCCCAATGCCCCACCTCTTCCAGTCACACCCTACCAGCTTGCAGTGACCACTCAGTTAATCCCTGTCATGGGATTAATTCACTTACTGAGTTAATGTTTTCATAACTGAGTTAATGTTTTCGTAACTCAATCACTTAACCTCTAAGCCTTAATGTATTGTCTCACACATAAGCTTTTGGGGGACACCTTACATCCAAACCATAACACCAAACTAAAAACTTTCTGCATAATAAAGGAAACAGTCAACAGAGTGCAGAGACAGCCTATGGAATGGGAGGAGATATTTGTAAATTATATATCTGGCAAAGTGTTAATAGTCAAAATATGTATTTTTACATAAAAATATCCTCAAGATATTGATAGCAAAAAAATAAATAACACAATTAAAACCTACATAGACAATTTTCAAAAGACACACAAATGGCTAACAGGCATATGAGAAATGCTTAGCATAACTAATCCTCAGAGAAATGCAAAGGGAAACTACAGTGGGGCCTTCTCTTATTCCAGTAGCAATGGTTATCATGAAAAAAGACAAAAATATAATCAATGTTGTGAAGAATGTGGGGAAAGTGTATCTCTTGTACACTGTTGGTGGGAAAGTAAATTAGTACATCTGTGAAGAAAACAGTATGGCGATTTCTCTAAGGGAACATACTTACATTATGAGAGCAGAACCTTCATTATGGAATTAGTGCCCTTAAGGGGGAGCTGAAGATGTCAGAGTTCTTTCTTTCTACAAGACAAGATGGTGAGGAAGCAGGAGTCTACAACCCAGAACAAGCCCTCACCAGAAATCGGCCATGTTGCTGCTTTCCATCTCAGACTCCAGCATCCAGTACCATGAAAAACCAGTTTCTATTATTTCTGAACCACTCAGTCCTGGCATTCTGTTACAGTAGCCCCATCTAAGACAGCAACGAAGGCAGAAAATGACAATTCTGTACTAGATGCTCACAAAGGATTGAATTAGTGATGAAAAAATGTGCCAAACATTGTTAACTGTCTCTAAATATCCATATTCTACTTTATCCACAGCAATAGAAATTTCATCTCTACACACAGATACTTTGAATAGAAAACACAGTCCAAATATTTCCACCTGGGCATGGCTATGCAACTAACTCTTTAAAGTACTGGGATATGGGTAAAAGCCATACATCTGCCTTTTTCTTTTGAGAGAGAGAGAGAGAGAGAGAGAGAGAGAGAGAGAGAATTTTTTTAATATTTATTTTTTAGTTTTCGGTGGACACAACATCTTTATTTTTATGTGGTGCTGAGGATCGAACCCAGCGCCTGCGCTATCGCTTGAGCTATATTTCCAGCCCACATCTGCCTTTATGTGAAGTACTCTTAGAGAAAAAGTAGCCACCCTCTTCTCACATGTCCATTTTTTTTTTTTTTTGGTACTGGGTATTGAACTCAGGGGTACTCAACCACTGAGTCACATCCCCAGCCCTATTTTATTGTACTTCATTTAGAGACAGGGTCTCCCTGAGTTGCTTACCACCTCACTTTTGCAGAGGCTGGCTTTGAACTTGTGATCCTCCTGTCTCAGCCTCCTGAGACGCTGGGATTACAGGTGTACATCACCTTGCCTGGTTCGGTTCACATGTCCATCTTGAAGCCAGAAAGGAAGTACTGTATCCAAGGAGGTAACAGGGTCACTAGAGAGAAGAATAGAGAAAAGGGTCTCCATTAGACATTCCAGATTGAAGCCATCTTAGCTGCTTGGCATTTTATAAAAGAGAGAAAAATAAACTTCTATTTTGTTAACTCATGTTTGAGATCCTTCTCATACTCAAACTCATGTCCTGCTGAATGCAGAAAGGAAGACAGCATGGTGAGGTTTCACGTTCTTATAGCTCCAGCCTGACCTGTTTATATGGTAGTAATTGCAAAATCACTAGCTGGCTGAATCATTCCCAGCACAGCCAGGAGGCAATAATGGACAGTGTTTTCCAATTGTACGGAAACCACACGCCTCACTAGCACTTTTTTTTTTTGCTTTTCAAGTAATTAATGAGTGTATCTATCTACATGATTTGATCCAAAGTGCACTTCAGGTGTGATTTGAATAGTCAAAAATTTGAAATTTGTCATTTTCTTCTTCCTTTGATGATCTTTTAATGGAACTCTAATAGCTTGCAACATGGCTAAATGTGATTGAACTGGTAAAATGGACAATCTATTTCTAAACTTGATGAGTGGCAAACGAGCTAAGTGATTAATATGCTCAGAACAGCTATTTCAAGCCTAATGTTTATATTAATAAAGAACTCTCTAAGTATAGACCACAATCTACCATGGATCCTTAAATATTATTGAATGAATAAATAGATCAGTTCATCACTAAATGTATTTTGTAACAAATAAATGGAACAATTATATTTAATGGTTCACAGGTGGAACACCACTTGAAATTACACATGACCTTGACATGTGAGATATCTTCTTATGGTAAAGAGAATGTAATTGGTTCAAAACTGATGCAATATCCTGAAGATTAATGCTTCATCTGAGGTGTATGAATATGCTAATTTTAAGATGATAAAGATGGTAAGATGATTACTCATTTTAAGATGTTCATAAAATAAACACTAAATTTGCATTTTTGACTATTAAGTATTTTAATGTCATGATAAGGCTTCAATCCATTTGATTTTTAACTATGACCATAAAAATTTAACATGATAGATGCATATTGGAAGGAATTATTTATCTCCAGAGGGATCACATGAAAATCGAGTCTTAACATAATATAGAATTATTTCTCAATTTTCTCAAAGTATATAAGCACACTTATTATGTTTCAAAATAATACTTGATAATGAAAATATACATTTGTTATATGGTTCTGTGGCTAGAAATTACCTCAAATCTTCATGTCATAAAACAATATTCTCTTTATTTATTCACATTTTCAAAGATCAGAAATTCAGAAAAGTGGGCAGTCTGGGTCGTGTGGCATTAATGTCATTCACTCCCTCCCTTCACTCTGCTATAAGATAACATGAATTTCATCCCCATGTCTGACACCAGTATCCTTCATGTGTTTTATTCCTCTCCACCTGGGAAGATTGGGGCTTCCTCACAAGACAGTGGTTGTATGGAAGTCTTACTTCCAAGAGCTGGCTTCCAAGAGGGAGCACACCAACAGAATTCTTTAGTCTCACCTTGGGAAGTGCACCATTTTGTTTCTGCTGCACCCTATCCATCAGACTCAGTCATAGCAACTGTTCAGATTCAACTAGAAGGGAAAGTTATCCCTCCTCTCAGTGAAGTGTCCATCTTTAACCCATTATGATGACAAAAATATAAAGAAGTTACATATGTTCATAAAATATAAAATAGAGTAAAAACTTTTAATCTTAAATTCCCATTTAAATTTCAAGGCTACTTTTAAAGTTTTCCAGGAACAATGTAAAAATGTCAGGATGTTGCAGTAGAATTCTAAGATAATACTATGAAAATATAGTTTAATAACATTCCTACAAAAATGTCTTTAAAAGCAGCAGTAGCAAGGAAATTTATTGAACTAAGAGAAAAAATAAGTCTTAAAATAGGTGGTCTATTGTCTTCATTCATGCAATTATTTCTTCATTTGTTCATTCATCCAACAAATATTTCTTGGTGTTCTGTCATGAGCCAAAGAATTTTGTTCAGCAAAGAGGCTGTAACAATGAGGAGAGAAGCATTGTTTTATTTTCTTCAAGCTGCTTACAACTTAATATTGCAAATTATTCACACTCTAAAGATCATTCAACTGAAGTTTTGATAATGGAAAACAATAGGCTTTGTAAAATTTGTAAATAAGGAATTTTATGTGAAAAAGATTGATATACATAAAACAATCAAATACAAATTCATGAATGCATTCAATTACTCAGTCAAATAAGCATAATTTAAAGTTTTGTTTTGTACCCAGTTCATTCTAAATCTTTAGGCCAATGCATAAACCATGTTTTAACAAAAACAGATGCTTCTCAGCACACAGGATGGTGACATCTGCTCTGTAGCTCCACATGGGAATGTCTTCTCATTGCTTACCAGCTCATCCCCAGTTCCAAGAAAACATGAGCCTCTTAAAACAAAGTTGAAAACCTAGTGGCTTGCTAGTCAGCTGGCAGTGTTTCTGCATTTTTAAGCAGGCTTGGATTTGGAGGGGGGAGGCTTAGTGTTCACTCTGTTACTGACCTCACTGAGCCAAGTTCAGAGTGGTGTGAGTTATCAAATCTGACAGCCTTTTGGCAAATCTTTGAAGGCTCTCAGGCCAGGCTCCCTTCCAAGCTCAGCTGGGATCAATTAGGATAAATAATAGTTCTTGCAATAGCTAGTTCCTACCATGCTTTTTTAAAAGAATTTAGTGTGCAATAATGCAATTTATGGATTACCTGTACCACACTATCCATTCAAAAGAAAACAAAACCAAATTGAAAAGGTTAGAATGTCTTGAGAGTTGCAAGTAATACAGCAGGGCAAAAAGTACCAGAGAGGCATTTTGAAGATTTCTTACTGTTTCTTTAATTTACCTAAAACATAATCAAGCATATATTCAGAAATATAATATTTCCCCAAACTTGGATTCCACACACCAAAATCAATATTTTGAAGTTCTGGTTAAAACATACTACACACACACACACACACACACACACACACACACACACACACATATGCACACATCCAAAGACTTTCTAATGTCCTCAGCAGCAAAAACAGTTAGCTAGCATGTGATGCAGATTTTCAATTTTAGGACAAAGATTGAACTCAAGCACAGGTTACTGGTCAATAAAAACGGAAGCTACTCAATGGAAGCCTGTGATCAACAGCAATGCATAATTATTTTCCACAGCAAGAGTAAGGCTGCATTTAACAATGTTAATTTTCTGGCTTCATGTGAACTAAGCTTTGCTTTTATTGGGTGTTTCTTTTTATATTGCCTGAGGGTAAGGAACTGCAACTATCTCATGGCTGAACTTCAAAACTTGAATGTTTGCAAGAATTTTCTTGTTTGACCTTATTGGTTGCTACCGGAATCATTAAACTAGCATGGCACCTCTTTAATGATAGTTTACATTTGACATTCTTCTCTCATATTTTTAACAAGAAATATTTATTGTTAATAAGAGTGTCTGGAGTTTTGTTTCTTTTTTTTTCATTCAGTGATTAAAAAGTTATTTGAAGTCTTGTATATGTAAAATTTTGCATGTATAATGAGAAGTAAGTTATGTGGGCTTTTTTCAGGCAGATTTTATCCATTATATGAATATATTTATTGACTTATAGGCAAGCATACATGAAGATTGTGGAGAAAATAGTTTAATAATGGTTACAAATATTCCAACTGTCCCTTGAATGCAATTGACTGTCATTCATGTTCTCCAGGGCGCTCTTCCATAATGTCCCTGTGAACTGCTAAGACTACAGTACTACTTAGACATGCTCTCTGCTCTCCCAGAGATTACCACTAATCCTAGTGGAATTGTGTGCTCTTTCCAGTTAAACCTCTGAATTTATGAAGTAATTGGAGCTGAAGTTGAATTTTTAAAAACTACTAGTGTATATTATTTTGATGAGTATTTAAAACAGGGCCTTTTGTTGGAGACAGCTAAAAATGAGCATGATGTATGGGTTGATTAAATAATGCATAGAGTGTGTTTCATTATTTTTCAGCACAAAGAATCAGAACATGGTTTGGGGAGCATGCATGTTTACACTCTTCAGGATGTGAATTATTGAAGACATAGTACCACATTATATGTTCAAATTATTTTGCAGATCTTTTTTTTTTTCCAATACTGACTTATGGGAAAATATACTGCCAAAAATTAAGCAAAATACACTGCCAAATTAGAGTAACAGAAAAGATCAATGGAAGTTGAGATTGCATTCTGCTGGATTTAACAATATCTATAGAGTCTTAAAATGTGCTAGCATGGTTTGAAATGCAGGAGACATGGTTGCAATGCTTAGTTTCTAGTCATAAGGGATTAAGAAACTTGAGGAGAGCTCAATAGAAAATAACAAATGATACTACAAGATGGCTAAGCTTACAGAGTGAGTGGTCCTTACCAACACTTGCCAAAAGGCAGAGCTGATTCTAAATTGACTTCCTCAGAGATAATTTTTTTGAGGAATTATGAGTTGTATGTGCCACTATTTATTTTATACATATCTAGGGAAGGATTGAGAAGGTACAATAAGTGGAGGCTGAGAAGTCAAAGGAGGTGAACTGGGGCTAAGAGGTGGAGAGCAGAATAAAGTCTCAGGAGAACTCACTCACAATAAGATAATTGATTTTTTATCAAGAAATGAATTTAGTTACAACATTTTGTAGGAGATTTTAGTTCTATGAATATGCTAGCTTTGATTATATTAGCTTATTAATCTATACAATTTTTTATGTTTATTTCAATAGAAATCAAATTTCCAACTAGGGATAATTTATTTGGGGGCTCGCTGTGTGCATTTTACACACATTTGCTAAAGACAAACATTTTTCATAAACCTATCTGTAGTACAAGATTAGGTCCAAAGTTTTGCTTTAGAAGTGTTTGCTTGTATGTTTTTGTTATTTTTGTTTTGTTTTGGGGAGGTATTTCAGTTTTTATAAATACAGTGTTATTTTTTAAATTAAGCATGGTTTTCTTATTCATATTGGTAT